CGCCCCTCGCCAAGGGCTCGCTGCCGCTGGATGCAGCCCAGCAGAAAGGCTTGATGACCCCGCGTGCCACCAAGTCTGGGTGCCCCCATGCGTCCCGGCATCACGCCAGCGGAAGGAAAGGTTCAAGCCATGCCAAGAAGAGTCGCTGTGCTGCAAAATGGCTCTGGTGAAGGAGCCCAAGGGGCCGTCACAAAAACAGCCAGACACATAACCGGGGTCTGAGGTTATTTCTTTCCCTCTCTTCCTACTCCCAACCACTGAAGAAGCTTTGGCTGCATTTTTTCCCCTTATCTTCTCAACGTTACATTTGTAGGGTGTATTGCCTTCCTTTTATGACTCCAGTTAATTCTGCAACAGAAAATACCTTAGTGAGAAGTTAAGCAACTCTGAGCAGGTGCTTGGACTTTGCACTTTAAATTGATGCAACTCTGCTATAGTGTCTGCACCTGTGACAGGTTTTTTCTTTTTTTAAAAAAAAAAAACCTGTGACTGGGTCAAATATATTCGCCGGCTGTGCCACTCACATTAAATTGCAGGTTGTGGCTGGATTCCTGCTCTCTCATGTCTGATTTATTCTGTTTTTCTAAACTGTTTTTATTGCTGACTGCCAGGGAAAATTATTCCCTTTTATTATGCAGCAGCTCAACTTTACATAGAATAATGAAAGCAATTATGCTTTTAGGACTAGAAAGATTGCCTGGCTGTGGGACCAGACCTCGGCATAAAAAGGTAAGCTGGAGATGTAGCAAAAGATGTGCAGGCAGGAGTTTAGAAGACTTTGCGGAAGTAGTGAGATACAGCCTTCAGTGAGAGTTTGCTGCCAGCTCAGCCATGCCACTGTGCCAGCCACCGAGCATAACACAGTGAAGTCCTGCACCACAGGACTGGAGCAAGAGCCCTGCTGGTGCCCCCTGCTCTCCTGGGTGCTTTTGTTCCTGGACAAACCCCTTTGGATCCAATTAGGAAAAGGGTGGTATGGGGTAGCTGCCTGGGATGACGGGGGAGAGGATGAGGCAGAAGGTCCCTTCCAGCACCGTGACCTGGCACAGGCACAGCCTGCCCTGTGAGTGCCATCTGCATCACTACTCTGTGTTTACAAATTTGCAGCCAGATGGAAAGCCAACTTTCCCCTCCAGCTGTTTCTGGGACATAATGTTTTCCTAGATAGCAGGAAATAATTATCTTGCTTGGTTTTGATTTCCCAACACATACGTAAGGGGCAAAGTCCCAAAGCACATTTCTGTGCACACCTGCCTGCACGTGCTGCAGCTCCCAAGGCAAATCCCAGCAGGAATATCTCCTTGTGTCTCCTCTACAGCACCCTAAATGGACCAAGCAGGATTTTCATAGGTTTTCTTTTCTAACAAAATAATAGATTTACTCACAAAAACAGAGATTGATGCTACTGGCAAGATCTCTCTCCTGGTTGAGGAGGAGTCTTGCTTTCCGTGGCGAGGGAGAACTTTAAACTTCTGGTAAATCACTAGCCCTGAGGATTAAATGGAAACAAGAGGAAAGGCCTGGGTAATGAGGTGCTATTCACCTCCTGGCTACCCCATATCAGATAAGCTGGTGTAAGAAAGGGGTTTGATTTACAAACTGGCTCTGCTTTTGCCTCACTCAGCCTCCCAGAGACTTTTCCAGGAGCCCTCTGGCTCCTTTAGGCTTGCGCAGGTCTGCACCCTGCTTTCAATTCTGGTCACTGCAGTGCAGCAGCAGGGCGTGCAGCCGTTAGAGGGAGATGGAGCATCATGATCCACTATACAAGCACAAACTAATGTAAGAAAGACTGGTGACAAGGTTTTTTGAACTTCTGAAAATCTGAGCTTCTGTTTCTGTGCTTTTGCTCAGAACTAGAGTTGCTCTGACATGCTGAGACAAAAACGTGGCTGTTAAATGGTGCCTTAGACTTTTTTTTTTGGCTCTCTGCATGAGGATAGTGTTTCATGCTGTCTTGTCAGCCTGGGTCAGTAATGCAACTTTGTCTTAAAGTCAGCATTTGAAAAGAGGTTGAAGATACCCAAATGCCTTTGGCTGCTTTGATCATACTCAGGCTGCCCCTGCTACAGTTTTTTGTTAGTAAGGGGAAGTATCTCTCTCTCTCTCTCTCCCTCTCTCCCTCTCTGGTGGTCAACCTCAGGCAACGTGACTCAGCTCTGCAGCCTGCAAGCTGGGCTGCAGGAGCGTGGCCAGCAGGTCAGGGAAAGTGCTCCTTGCCCTCCAGCTGGCACTTCCACACCTCTGTGCCCGGTTTTGGGCCCTCAGCACCAGAGCTATGGACATCTGGGAGCAAGTACCATGGAGGCTACTGGGTTGATGAGCACTGGAAGTACAAAAGGAGGCTGGGAGAGCTGGGCACATTCACCCTGGCAAACAGGATGCTCAGGGAACAACTTATTACTGTCTTCACCTGCCTAATGGCCATTTTCAGTGGGCTAGAAAGATGGGCTTTCTAGGATGGGCTAGAAAGATGTTCCCACACCACCACTGCTCAGTGGTGTCCAGGACAGTGGTCCTAGCATAGAAGGAGCCACCGGTTTAACAAAGCTTGATAATGTGCAAGGTTTTAAAAAGCATCAGACATTTAGGGTTGTGTTTCTACTCCCTTTTCCAAAGGTGCTTTTGTGTAGAAAGCACCAAAGTTCCAGAAATTAAACAACAACCTAAAAATTTGGACTGTCATAACTTTGAGTTGCTGCCTGCAGATTGATTAATTGTATTATTAGAAGCAAATCACAGCCTTTCCCCATAAACTCTGCTTTCTTTTCTTCCTACAAGTAAGATTGGGCAGTCTAAGTGTGTGTTCAGTTTGGGTATTTGAACTCTATGCAGGTAAAGTGGCACAGAAACAGGAATTTCCATTTTTAGGGGCATTTTTCCCCTTTTGAAGGGAAAAGGGTATGATCAGAAATTGATTCAGAATTTAGTCACAAAGACTCCTGACAGGTTTCCATACACAAGCTGCAATTAGCAAAGAATATGAAACATGATTTTTAATATTGATGGTACTCTCCAGTAACATGGGTTAGCAGGGTTAGCATCTGCTGTGAGGCATGAATTCTGGGTCTGCCTTTTCAGATAACTTTGTGTGAACTTTTCCTTGTCTCTGGTGAAAGAATGGGAATGCAATCCTGACAACTAGGACTGGGGAGCTGAGATTTCCTCACAACATGGAATGTCAAAACATTTCAAAAATATTCGTTACTGTTTCATGCATGCAAAGTATTTTATCATTATAATATTAATAGCATGTTAGCTGAGACAAACACCTTGGGGTTGAGTAATAGTACCTTTAAAAATATGCACTTTTTGATTAAGGTGTCTCAAGTCGTCCTCATAAACAGGATGTAGTTTAGAGCCCTGATAATTCAAGGTGTTTTGCATTTTCATTTCTGTTTGCATTCACAGTCATTTCTTTAAACTGGAATTTCAAAATGGGCTGAGAGCAAGGCTTCTGCTAAAGCTGTGTGATTTGGATGAGTGACTCATATTATGAAGAATCCAGTTGAACCCTTGGGAAATTAGTGAGGTGCCCCCAAATTCAGAGATACTATGCAGATACTGACTGGGAACATGCTTCTATATATCAGGAAGTCTTTTAAGGCCTATTAGGTATTTTGATCCATAGATGTAGAGGTTTTTCTTGTCTGCAATGTTATCTCTTTAGGAAATTTTTTGAATACAGTTAGTCCACAGAGTTTTGTGCTGGAGACTGTCAGTTGTCTTTTAATTTGTTGTGGATTTAGTGATGCCTGTCAATATACTGAGCTTTCAGGTTGAGTCTCTCCAACTTTGCATCATCCCCTGCTTTCTGAGGGATTCAGCCCTGGCAAAGGAAGGATGAGGGAGACAAATTTGGTGGCTAATGCATCAAATTTGTCAATCAAGATTTCCAAAAGGGGCTTTCTTTTTTTTATTTTTTGGTATGCAGCCTGAGGCTGTTTTAAGGAGCCTAGTGCAAGTTAACTGAGCGTTGCATGTGCTGGTCCTACCTGCAGACCTTGACTCTGAGCTTATCTGGAGAAGTCTGAGGGTTTTGGGGCAGTGCATCAATAACCACATGATGACATCCTCCTCTCTCTCTCTCTCTTCAGCAGTTTTCTTTCTTAACCTTCTGATCCTGCTTGCAGATAGGTGCCAGTAACCCACCAGCAGGTCGATGTCTAGAGCGTGGAGCCGGGCAGGCTGCTGGGGGTTTGGAGGACTGCTTTAAAGTCCAGTACCTTGCAGCTGATACGTCTGACTTATCTGCATGAGATCTATTGTCATTTGTGACCCACCATTCCCATTGCCAAGGCTTAATTAGGGCTGAACAAACTGGAGCAAAGTGAGTTCACGTGTTAAGACAAAGAATTGGTAGAATCACACCAGTGATGAATTTAAACAGTAAAGATACAATGTGAAGGGCATTCCACAAAAGGTAACAGTATGTGCTATGAAGAATTATGCCTGTAAACAACGTTAAAATAATTATAGTAATTATAAGTGTTACACGTGGGAAAAATTGTTTGGAAAGTAATTAAGACCTCATGCACAAAGGTTGTCTCATCTTCCTGGATGTTGAAGAAAATATATAAAACTTGGAGGATTCAGGGCTCCTCTGACCATTTCTCTTGACTTCTTCCTGGACAGCTGGTAAGTCCCATTCACTTCAGTCTAATTATATCGAGCAAGATGCTGCTGTAACATGAGCTGGGATTTAACATTAAGCCATGCTATGGTTTCTAATGATATTAGTGAGTTCCTTTCTAGAAAAGCCTTCCAGAAATTTTGTTGCATACTTGGACCATATTCAGCCTTAAAAATATATCTATGGGGATAGGTATTCTTATCAAAAAAGGAATTTATTTTTATTATTATCAATTAACTGTATATATCTACGTGGTATCCAAAATGAAAGGCAGTTTAAGCTTAATTCATGTAGAATTTAGATAATTCTTTTCATAAAGAAAATTGGAAGAGATCTGAGACGCTCAAACCAGATGTTCTAAATTTTTACTTCCCACATGCTTTTTATTCATAAAATTAAGGGATTAAGAAGGGATTGAAATCTTCTTGTGTCCATCCTTTCCTCCCAGAATGATCATGTTTGCAGCCAAAACAAGGCTTGAACAAACAAAGAATTTATTTCCCTAC